GCCCCAGGTCGCCCGGCGCCACCCCGGCCCTGCCCTGACCCTGCTGCCGAGTGACGCCCGTTCCGTGGCAATCCCCTGCGGACGGGCCGGAGAGGGAGTCCCTGGCAGCCGGGCCTGGCTGGGGACATGGGCAGCAGCAGCTGCACTCACGGGCAGGGTGGCCATCCGGAGCCCCCAGCGTAGCGCCCGCCTCCGGGTGCAGCCCCGGCTCAGCCAGGAGGAGCAGCAGTCTGCCTAGATCAGTGCCTGGCGCGGGCGGAGACAGGGCACCAGGCTGACCTGGCTGGGGATTCCGGGGCAGCTGGCTCCGACGACCCCTCAGCGCCACTGTGGGGCAGAGGGGCCATGTCTAGGGGAGAAGGGGCCCCTAGACCTCCACTGCTCATCCCCGGCCAGCTGCAGAGACTGACGGCCGGTCGCCCCGCCCCGGGGGCAGCTCCGTGCACACGTCAGCCACGCCTGTCCCGAACGCGGAGCCGGGGGAACCCCCTGGGGCGGCTCCTTCCCCTCCCGGCGGATTGTTCCACGCGCACCAGGCCCCAACCGTCCCTTCGCGCACCGGCACTTTCCAGGGCACCTGACGCTGGTTTCCCCTCCAGCTGCTTTCCGCTGAGCAGCACTTCACGTGGCGCCAGCCACCCGGGCCAGGGAAATCCTGCTGAGACAGACCTGCCCCAGCCGCCTCCGCAACCACAGAGCTGGGTCCCGAAACGCCTGCTCCTCTGCTGAGTGGCAGCAGGCGCCTGGGGCCTGGTGGCTTCCCAGCGCAGGAGAGAGCTGTGACATGGAGCCGGGCTCTACGCTCATATGCCCCCGGCCGGGAGCAGAGCTGGTGATAAGCAGCACCCGGGAGAATCCCGCTGCCTCGACTCCAATCGGAGCCCAAGGCAGAGAGCGAATGCTGCGGCTGCCTGCCCAGCTGCCTCGGCACAGGAGCAAACCCAGGCCTCACCCCACAAGGTCTGCCCAAGACGGAGCATGTGCTCGCACGCTGGGCAGACTAGACCAGCCCCCAGGGATGTCTGCCACCCCGGTACCCTCAGGGGCCCCGGGGCAGCGTGCCCGCCTCAGCAAGGCCTCGGAGGGGGTAGCGGTAGCTGAGGGGACGGACTGTTGGTCCAGCAGCCGGTTCTAGCAGCACAAAGATGGGAGCAGCAGGGCCGGGGCCGGACTCGGCGAAAGGGCAAAGCCCGTGTCCAAGGGCCATGGCGGGAGAACAGAGTCTTCTCCGTGCGGGGCACCTCAGCCACTGCCCCTCTGGCCTGCCCTGGTGCCAGGCTAGCGGGGGCCCCTCAGCCTAGCAGCTGATTTCCAGGCCCGGAGCCCGGCCGCAGCCCCCTCTGCCCA